AGGCACAAATTTTTTTTTTTTTTTTAGCACGTGTTAATTTGCTTTGCTGTCATTTAGTTAATTCAGTCACTGCCAGGCGACTTAAAGCTGAACTCCGGGGAAATGCAAAAAACTTTGCAGTGGGACCCGCCTCCCTCCCTGCACTGCAAGGGTTAAATGCTCATTTTTGTCTAGGGGAGGCCTTCCTAAACTTTTCACACTCGTGACCCCTTTTTGGCCGAGGAAATTGTTTACATGACCCCAGCGTCTCTTCGCTCTTTTCCCCCTAGCGTCGGGCATTGTCTTCTCCAGCATTGGTCAGTGTCTCTTCCACTGCAGCGGTCAAAGTACCATTAAAAAAGGACTTTTAGTTTTTTTTATCCCTCGCTTCCCTCTTCCCCCCAGCGCTAGGGGTAGGAGTGCTGGTCCTGTGTTGCAAGTGATGACGGATGGAGCACAAAAGAGACATAGGGGACCCGGCCACATGGAGAGGAGGTGCCTGCTGGACCAAAGGGTAAGCTAGTGGTTTTGAATGGTACCCTAAAAACTAGGCAGGGGGTGCAGGAGGTACAGGGGGAGGGAGGGCGGAATCGGGAAGGGTATTTTTTTTAATCCTTCCAGAATTCAGCTTTAAAATGAACTTTTACTTCATCTATTGCTCTGAAAAAGTACCAGCCCTGCCTAGGAAGCCGACATCACATGATCAATGCTATTACCTTGTGTTATGCAGAACCCATTTTCTGTGGCCCTCTCCGATTTGGTATCACTGGAGCCAAACTTCATGGATAACCACTAGCGTTCCCCTATAGCCTTCCTATTGGTCACCAAGTGTGATAGGCAGCTACACTGGCCAATAGGGGTGTTAGAAGGATGGAATTGGTAACACCATGCACAGTCTGGTCGACAGCACAGTACTAAAGTACTCAAATGTCACCTATTCTCAGGAGCCCACAGGTCCACTTTAACGAGTTAAATGTAAATGTTGTCACCAGATGTAAAATGTAGAAATCGTCTACTAAGAATGATTTCAGGGAAACTACGCAAGTGTGTCACTGTGGGAAAGCAGGGGCTGGTAACTGGTAGCCCGGCCATGGTACTTACTCTTGGAAGACCTTCGGCAGGCTGGGGCACAAAGCAGTCTTGACCCGTTGCTCCATTTTCTAACGAGAAGTCTCCCTGTGACAAGAAAAACAGGAAACAAGAGTCACCATCTTGGACAATCAAGGCTCAGCAATCAAGGCTGCAGCAAATCACAAGGAGAGAGTCTGCAGCAGGGGCTGATCTGTGTCAGACATTTATAAACATAACGGCTACAAAGGCACCTGGATTGTGTCATCTCTGAGCCAACGTCTCAGTCTGGGAATAGGACGCTGGATCCTGGGCGATGCCTGGACAAAGATGGTGACATCGTTCTGCGGAGAAAAGCAGATGAAGTTAGTGGGAGCACTGTAATCTCTGAGAAGTAATAAATACCTGGAAGTGTTACACAATATTTAGCATAGATGGAAAATATATCAGAAGCTAAAAAATAAAAAGGTATCCGCAAGGCAAGCTCATCTACTTACTTCCGAGATGTTTTCTTCAGTGGCCACTTCCATAAGATTCTCCTCCATCAGTAACCCCCCCGACAGAAGGATAACTTTAGCTAGTGACACCACAAATTAAATATGGGTGACCACACCGCTTCCTTCCTATAAGTAATG